CTAACAAGTGCAGAGTTCCATTCTCATAGATATGTGCCCGTTCCATTTCACAGGATTTAGTCTAATGTAACGAGCTTTAATCACGGGAGTTAGCTGATGATTCACAACAGTATCTCTGTCGGTGTTTCCCGTAAAAACCTGAATGAGATTTAACAGAATACGATAGTTTGGTATCTGGGCTCGAAATGACCAATACACAGCTGTTTTTAGTGTCGTCACGCAACGCTCCTCCCCACTAGTTAGTGGGGAGGAGCGTTGCGTGACGACACTAAAAACGGCTGTGTAGCAGACTAGAACAATGACCACACCACATCACAAACCAACAAGAAACACTTGAATTCTGCAACACCAAGAAACACCCGAATTGTACTGGCAAGAGATGGATAATCTGTGCATGAAATACAAACGTACGTAAGATGAATTATTTGTTTGGATGGTTGTGAGCGTCTTATAAGATAGGGAAAGCATGAATAACTAGTCAAGACGAACTATCTGCTTCTGTTGTCTGAAGTTATTGTGAGTTATCAAGAGAGAGTCAAGACAGAGAGGGAATCTTAGGAAGTTGGCCGGGATGTGTGAATTTTACTTAAGTTATTTTTAGAAGTTGTGTCCAAATGGAAGTCCAATTCCTGGAACGTCTGAATGTTTCAATCGATTGTTGAAGACGTCAACAAGTCCAAGCGCAACTGCCTCATAGCAAACAATGCTATTATAATATTGTAATAGCGACTGTTGAATTCTATTTTAACAACACTGAGTAAAAGTTTGCGGACCTCTCTGGAAACCAACTTCCGATTAATTAGAAGCGTGTAATTGGTATAAAAATAACTTTGGTGAAATTCACATATCCCAAGAGCTAAACTGGGTGTTTTCCTCCCTGTTCTGTTATTCCTCATGGACTTATGGAACAACGGCTCTCTGCGTCCAATAATTTATTTAGTCCTTATGCTAGCTGGATAAGCCAGTAAAAACCCCGCCATTGGATAACGTCATAATCATGGTCGTTTTCACACTAGAGATGGATATTATTCAGTCGTTTCAGAACAACGAATAAACCGTCTTCAAAATCCATCTAAAAAGATGGATACTGAAGGATAAAATCAGACTGTTCATTCGTCTAAAATGAGCACCGTCCTGTTTTCAAACTCTAAGTCACGGTTAAGACAGAGTACAAAATATTCGTATTTCTCTGTTTCTGGTTGGCTCAAATTCCCAGGTTAACCAGCTTGCATTGGCCAGATTTGGAAGACGTTTGCGATATCCAAGAAAGTGACTTCATTGGTTCAGGATTATCTAATCAGACAAGGGCACGGCAACCGAGAAGCCCTGGGAACGAGGATGCTTTAGCTCAGCTGTTCTGAAGAAAAGTGGCGGAAAACTTCACTCGTTTCGCCAGGAAGAAATAGACGAACTACTGCTTTAGGTCATAGCAAGAACAGCAAAAATACCACCAGACTGATTACAACTGCTATTTAAAGAATATCGGCTAGACTAAACACTTCCTTATATCCCGAATTTTCCGAGGAAAAGGGGAGGAGGAGGAAATAAAGAGGTACGGTTAGGTAAATTTGAATAAGGCCTATTATTATATTTATTGTTATTTTTATTGTTTCCTACCATGTCTGATTCATCTCCGCTTCTCCTATAGAACTTAAACGCCTGTCCATCTTCACTGTACTGCAACTTGTACTTTGTGACCCATTGAGCGCAAGGGCATCCGTTCCGTCCTTGAGTTGCTACTCCTGACACTCGAGTCGTATTTAAAAGATCGACCTGTAGCCACTGGTGTATGTCGTTTAACTTAGCTGACCAGGCACCATAAACGGTTTTTACGAAGTGTAACCTGGCCTGCTGGGCGGGAAGATCGATGTCCCATTCTGATGAAGCCCTAATCTGGGAGTCCAAAATGGCTCCACTTGCCATACCGAGGGGGACTGGGCAAGCTAAGAGAACAAGAAAAATATGTGACTACAAACATTATAACCATGAAGACATTTCATAAAATAACTAAGATAGTACGTGCGCTCTGATTGACCGAGAGGTGTGTTTGCATGAGAGTATGTAAACAGGTTGTGACGTTAAGATGTTTTGCTTTTCGTGCGCTAATAGGCCTTTTGCGTTAGTTAATCACGTGACCAACTTTCGGTAAACGCGAAAATAGTTCGACCTGTTGATTGGGGTCACATTAATTTGGAAAAGCCTGACCTTAATCAACAGGTCGAACACATCAATCTGACTTGCATCTATTAATTTTGTTAACTTTGAAAATAGTTCGCCTTTGAAAAATTTTGTTAGCACGAGCTGAAAGAGCATATTAAAATTAGGAAACCTGTAAATTTTAAACTGTATATCGCAAGGATTTGTATGAGAAAAACAACTCTTGCCACCCACTCACGCTTGAGTGGTTTTCCATACAAGTCCTTGTAAATTCTGAAATTTTTAAACTGTCGTTAAATCTTTCCTTTACGCATTTAAGGGCTCAAACTCCCTTTTATGAATTAAAAGGAGATTTGAGCCCCGTCATAAACAACAACAACAACAACAACAACAACAACAATGAAACAAAAACAACCAGAAGTTGTTAGCGGTTTATACAGTCAACCTCTCTTTACGCCAACGGTCACCTCTATAGCGCGTATATACTCACGGGGCCAGCATCTATGCTAATTTGCACGAACAAAAGAAAGTTTTAACATAAGAAAAGAGTTCAATTCCCACAGGGTTGTGAAGGCACACCAACATGGCCGCTGTTTCATCGTCTTGGTACACCAATATGGCCGCCGTGACGTCATGTGAATACGCTCTATCAAGACGTACACTTCGCTAAAACGGACGCCTAGAGGTGGTCCCTCCCTTTCATTGGTCCTTTTTACAGGTCTCTATTTTTTACAAGTCTCTATAAGACGGACATCTCTCTATATGAAGACATGGGGCAGGTCCCAAAGGCGTCCGTCTTGGAGAGAGTTAACAGCCGTCAACAAGATTGGTGCACGAGCCTCCATTGGCACATGGACTTCCCGAACAGTGATTCACTATAAGACAGATTGGAAGTTTTATCATCATCATCACCATCGTCATTGTCATCATCATCATCATCATCATCATCATCGTCATCATCATCATCATCATCATCATTATCATTATCATCATTAGCATCATTATAATTATTTTTATTTGAGTTCTTGGGAACCTTTCGCGATTTTTTCCGCATCCTGTTTCTCATTTTTGTGGCGTCTTAACTTGAAACTAGGCGGCCCTTTGTACTGATACCCACTTTAATTTCTTAGCCATGGTCACTTCAGGCAATAGCCCTACCGGTTGTGAGTTCCTAAACTGCCTACTCAATTCAGGATCAGAGTAAGGATTCGAGCTATGCTTTATACCTTGGAGCTGAGATATCATAGGAGGAGCTTAGCTAGGAGCTACGCATTTGATTAATTATGAAAACTTAAATTATTGCACTCATTCTTATGCTAGCCAACTGTACACATAGCTGGGTAAATACCTTTACAATATTCGCCAATCCATGGTCCTTTGCAAACGCAGCGAAAGGTTTTTGAAACTTCCGAAAAAATACATGAGCCTCCATTCAAACAGCCGGTCAGCTGGCAGTCGTACTTCAGAAGGAGAAAAAAAATTAACGGGGTGCCTTTAAAGGGATCTCTTATAGAGGGAGAAGTCGCTACATCACATTGCCATGGTGGCAAAATTCCCGATGACAACAAACCGAAAACGTCACTAAAAAAGTGAACTCCCACTGTTTCAAACTTCATCGATGTTATTTGAATTCATTTAATTTGTCAAATTTAGGTGAAATTATTTGAGTCCGAAAGGACCTTATCTAAGTTTAGAAAAAAAAAATAGGAAACGTTTTGTGTTGTGTTCGCCTACTCCATAAAGCGGGCGCGTGAAATTAGGAAGTTTCATGTCGCAGTCGTTCAACAACGGCTAAGAAATATACAAAAAAGTGTGCTGCCCCAGTAAAGTTGTTGTTTTCAGTTCTTAATAAACCTATTGCTTTCTTGCCGTTCTCGTTGCCGTCGCCGCCGTCGTTGCTTAAGCTCCCTATGGTTGTGATCCAGACATTTTGTTACCATAGTAACGTGACGTCAAACTTCTCCTCTCTATGAGGTTCCTGACGTGCTCAGTTTAGTTATATTAAACTTTGAAAGTACACAGCTTTCTCTATCAACCTTCTTTACTCTTTAAAATAACATTCCTATATTTAGAGGTGAAAATTAACTCACTGCACCAAACATTAGATTCATCAAATTTGCTTCGGGCCTCAGTTTGTTCTAAAAGTAATGGGGGGCGCGGGCCCCGGGGGCCCCTCCGTTTGATCCACCACTACCTTCCACGCGTTCCACGGCAAAAAGAACGTTTTAAAATTAGTACAGATGCTAAGTTGGGACATGATTTGTTGAAAACCAACGAAGATATTGCTCCGCACTGAAAGTCGACAAATTTCATAGACGTTTGTATGGTGGAGGCAAGTTCGTGCCCTCACCATACAAACGTAAAATTTCGCGACTTTCTGGAGCTAAATCTTTGCTCTCCTTTAACGTATCACCTTCACAACTGGTAAGTTTCCTAATTTTAAGGAGATCTTTCCAGTAGTATTTAACATTTATTCCTCGAGCCCGAATGGGCTCTTTAACAATTATTCCACGAGAGCGCGTTGGATATGAGATGATAGATAGCCAACGAGGCGCGTTTTATTAAAAACGCCCACAAAATCTCGTTGAATCTCCCCGACTAGAACAAACCGGAAAAGACAAGGGACTTCCGCTATTCACATGTCACACGTCTATCAAAACTGTCAACGCGCGAACGGACTCGCCTGGACAGCATGAATGAAAAATCAAAACATTGTAGCGATGAACATTAGTTTTTTAAAAACTCATCGGGATTCTAGGATTTTACACAGCAGAACAGCTAAAAAAACCTGGCAGATAATGTGAAGGAAAAGATTTTTAAGTGACAGCCGTCGAAATTACTGTGAATTTAGATTTTCGGTGCAGTTATAAAAGTAAGAACAACGGAGAAAAACTATTACCTCGGTCGCTTGTTATGAAGTTGTTTGAAGCCACAGCTGGTTTTGCTGAACGACAAAAGAAGCTATACTGCCGCCTCGATTGCTCTAGTGAATGGCTGCATAGCCTGTATTTGTAGCTGGTTACTTGTGATTTGTATTCTCGATGTCGGATAAACAAGCCGCAGTTATCTATCGGCGAGTGACTCGATCGGCGAATGGCTTCGCGATCATGAAGAAACAACACTTGTCTTCTTTCGTAGCTGGTCAAGGTACTTTAGTTCCATGTGTTTTCATGTGTTTTTCGACAAACTTTCAAACAAGCTCTTGTGGCTTTTTTGTTTGTTTTTGTCTTTTTTCTTGCGATGAAATTGCATTTCTAGTATTCTAAAAAATGAATTAAAACGATTTGCTTCGGGCGCCATTCTATCCTTCGCGAAAAAAAGTCTCAGCTAGCTTCCAATTTTAAACTGACGCGTACACCGACCATATATGGAGAGCATGGTATAATAGCTCATATACCATAGCGGCTAAGCCAATCAAATTGCTAGAATTGCATTATCCAATGATTCAGTTTTTAATAAAAGTCATTGTTATATTCCTAGACTTTCACTCAACTAAACAGGGACAGCCATTGGCTGATTCTTGGTCACGTGGCCTTGACTAAAATCAAATGTATCCCGATCGTGATACATCAAGCAATGTACCCCGCTCGGGATACATTACAGCATGTGATCAGAGCATGGAGGAAAGTGGCGTGACAGAAGGCGGGAAAAACACTGCCAGTTTTCTGTTACGTGAATGAACACAACAACATTCACAACAACACAAACATGAAGCCTCAAGCTAAAAAGCAACGATTTTCAAAGTTATCCCAGAGGAGAAAGAGCAGCTAGTGGAGGAAGATGCAGATAATATAAGGAAAGTACTTTTTAAATCATTCATGCAGTGGTTTTGAGAATTAAATTTGTGTTCTTATAAGTACCGAGTCGTACTGTTTTGATTCACTCCTCTTAAGCGCATTATTTTGTTGCTGTTGAAGTGAAAGTCTAGAATATAACAAAACACTTAATGTCAGGTCCCTCGGGAAACCAGTTAGTTTTGTTTTCCCTCGAGTCATGATGTTTCCCTCGACTTCGTCTCGGGAAACATCAGGACTCTTGGGAAAACAAAACTAACTGTCTCCCTCGGGATCTGACATTAAGTGTATAATAGCCCATGGGGCCAAAGGCCGAATGGGCTATTGACTCTTAGGCCATGCGGGCGAGAGGAACAATTTTTTTGGTAAAAACCAACTAGTTGGTCAAAAATATCTAGCCTAGGTAGCAGGCGTCGAAAGGGGTAGGGGATAGCCTGCCACGCAGGCTAAAAATATCGAGACAAAACAACTTTTAATCCCTTTTTGCCGCCAAAAATCGGGCGCTCTTCGCTACTAGTGGGCTCTAACATATAGCCTAGTAGTAGCTCAACCAATCAGAACGCAGCATTGATAATAAAACACTAGATGGATTTTATTAATAATGGATATTCGCCAACTAGATTTAATGAAAAACTTGAAAAAACCTTAAAAGCTGGGGTGTATTAATTAAACATTTTACACCTAATGTCCGGAACTACTTGCAGACTCAATTTTCTTATTGCATAGCCAAATACTATGTGCGTGTCTTCCTCGGTCTTAAAATGTTACTTCCCATGTTTTACAATTAACTCTAGCTCTACTCGTCCATAGTTTATCAATAAGGTGCCCCAAAGACACTCTGATCTTCTTTGAATAGCGTCAAGACGACGCATGGCTTGCCGAACTAGATCGGCCAAGGATCAAGAATTTCATTTTTTTAATTAAAAAAACATTCACTTGACACGTGGTTATATTTCGCGAGCATTTTTATATGACCAATTATTTGCTTTGCTCTTTATAAAACATAAACGCGAGGAAACAGTTTTGGACAGTTTTGGCGTATATGCAATTAAGCACTGTGGGTCTGTTACTAGTGATAAATTCAGTTGTAGGCTAGATGATAAGGGAATTTATTGAAGCAATTGCGTTGATCGAAATACTTCGTTTTACACGTCAGTTTAGTCAAAAAAATTCCTGAATGCTTCTAAGACAAAGGCATAGATGGGTATTTTTCTTTGAAAACAGAAATAGTCTTCAGACCTACCTTTATGTTACGAAAATGAGTGTAAACTGAATTTTTGTCATATTCCAGGTCTTCATTTTCTTCAATGGGCGGTTCTGCTCCACCCTCGTTCATCTCGCAAATTCCGCCGTGATTAGACGCATCACGATAATTCGAAGAAAAGCACCGATGATGGCTTTGGCACCTCAGACTGCATGATACCAGACTGACAGAGTAAAATGAGTGAAAAACGGATCTTTTCAAACGTCGATGATTCTTATTAATAACGGGAAAAGACAGATGGTCCTCATCCTGCCAAGTCAAAATCGATTGAGTGGTAAACATTTGAGAGCTTAAAAATAAAGCGAAGAACTGAAGAGAGTGCATGCTGCAGACATTATGCACTCGATCCTGTACGTAGAATTAGGTATTCGTGTGGCAGTTTTACTGTTTATCTTTTGACAGTCTATCGCTAATTAAAATAAGAAGTCATCATTTCTGTAAACAAAAAGCAACAAACCTATTTGTATTATTCGGAAAAGGATATTCATTAAAATGTTATCCTTTTTTTCACATTTAAGACATTAGGGGGGCGCGTTAAATCTTAGTTTGAATTAAATCGATGACATATTTGTAGATTTAGGCAGCTTGTGTTTTGAGGGCTTTGTAATATTCGTGCTTGCACCCTTAAATCTCACTTCGCTATAACACTTCTCATCTTTTGCATTTTAAAATAGCACTTGTCAAAGCAATAAATTATTCATTAACCCATTCGCTCCTGAATCCTATTTACACCAATCTTGCCCACGCTCCTATGTTAAGCGATGGAGAAATCTGGCGGCCAAGGTACGAATAATACTTTCCCAGACATCGCACTAGTACCAACAGGAAGACAACACCCCACATACCCAAACTCAAAACCCCTAGCCTAAATACCCACACCAAGGAAAAACGCTTGACAGAGTCAGGTAACAAAAATTGCCGTAAAACAACTTCTGCTCTGGAGCCACAAACACATAGTAAACAAGACCAGGGCGTGAAAAATTTAGCGAAATTAAGCCTCTGGTTCCAATACACGCTCGACAGAATCAGGTATCAAAAATTACCCGTAAAACAACTTCTACTCTGGAGCCACAAAACACAGTTTATTTAGAACAAAACCTGTGGGTATTGCTAAAAATTACAATGAATGCATAAGTCAAACAATAGCTCATGCAGCAACTTATAATAACACGTACTTCAAAAAACCCAACGGGAATAGCAGCATGCTAGTAAAGCAAATTCATTCACTGACTCTGCATGAATATAAAACTAGGAAGCACGAAGACTAAACACTCCCACGCGTAGGACAAAACAGGCATATGAAACGAAAAAACTGAAAACCCCGCACGCGGAAATTAGAAACTGGACATACTGTGAGAACTGAAAAACAACTGACTGCTATCCCGCTAGAACTGCTCAATAAGACTGGAGAAAAACCGAAGCCAACGAATGTACCACTCACGGGATCCATCAGAAGGAGATGTTGAAACTGGGGAATTGCAACCTGAAAGATAAAGTGGTACAGTGAGGACAATATAGGGAAAGAAGCGGCTCGAGGGATAGCAGTCTTACGCGCCGGTAATCCTACAGGGAATTATAAGACTTATAAGACTGAAAAGCTGGGGAGCAGCTGTAAAAATAATAACAAGGAAAGCATTGAAAACAAACAAAACCAAAGCAAAGAGTATAACTTAGAAAATACTGCAAACAAAAAGGGAAAAGTACAGAAAATACTGAAATACTGACCTTGAAAATATATGTGACAGGACCGAATGTCGGACACGTGGCAGCCTATAAAATCTAGGTTGCAAAACGAGATACTTACCGCGAGTATAGCCCAAGAAATTGAGGAAAATGGAAATACCAACAGGAGGCAGAAAAGAAGGGGCGAACGCCAATGAAGAAACAAGGGGAAAGGCGAAAGGGTGAGGAGGGAAGGAGTTTAACGAGCACGTTTAAGGTGACTCGACGCAGTCTTTTTGGGGGGGTACCATCCTACTTTCAAGCTCTCTGGTATCCCCACCTTTACTTTTATCGTAAGTCTAGCACATAGGATGGATAACATATACATCAATCTACAATATAACATAAAATTTTTGGCGATCGGAGTAAATGTCACGTGGTTAATAATGCCACGCCCCTTTGAGGTCTGAGTCAAAAATCTGCTGTTGCCGGCTTTTTTTAGTGAATATCTCTCGGCTACACATAGTGCGCATTAGTGCCTTGCGCTGAACAGAGTTTCACCAAAATCGCAAAGACCCAATTCGAGAAATTCAGCGGTTTCCAAATTTAGGTCATAATTTATGCGAAAATGATAAGCAAACTTTACACGGATTATATCTAATAAACTATGAGATTCATCTCTTTATTTTGGGCATCGTTATAACAGATGGGTCCTTGCAAGTCAGCAAAACGCTTTAGGGCCTTGTAAATGCGCGCGATTTCGAGCAAAGCAAACATATAGAAATTATAGTTTTCGCTATTTGTTGACGTTTGTCAGCGTTTAAGAGTCAACCTCAAGAAAAAAGCATTTTCTTAAAATTCGTAGTTTTTTTTCCTTCAAATTTTTTCAGGGCCACAATTGATTAACTAACTACCCGGACTCTGAATTCATGGTCATTGAAAAACTGTGACATATAAGACCAAACTTGAGTAAGCATTGAAGATTTTTAGCGTTTTGGCTGAGTTTGTGCTTTGGGAGTTGTCTATTGTTTCTAGTCTGTCATTATACAGCATTCTTGTTCAGCACGCGTGCAATGACCGCGCTTGGCTGACTTTCGAATGCTCACCGAGATATGATAATTTAGTATAAGAAAACAGAAGGGCGTTTTTTTTTTTTTCGGCTTTTTGTTTGATGAAAACAAAGTTGACTGGCAATGAATTTTATCGCTATAAAATCGAAGCTCAACAATGTTTCACTCTTAAATGGTTTCACTTCGAACCCTCGTCATGACACATCTGTTTTATTGGAAGGAATCTCGACTGACAAAGTACAATGTTAACGGATCACGCGTCACAGTGAATATATATTTCACGATTCACGACTGTATTTCATCACTTTTCTCGATTCACGCTCTGTTTACAGGTCAATTCACGCGGCATCACGCAAAACCCCTTCCAGACCCTGATCTAACTGGAACAGGGGGAAAAGATCTTTAAAAATAACCATACCTGGATAGGCACGATGCAAACAGGCCGGAGATATAACGGATATACTGGCGAAAAACCATGTAAAGTTGACCCAAAAACTCTAATGAAAATCTTGTTCCACTATCCATCTAACAGCATTCCTCTCAAACCTTTCCCACCGATGTGAAGGCTAATGCTCAGTAAAAAAAAAGAGAGAAGACAAACGGGGCAAGAAAAGAGATAAAGGAGGGAGGGGGGGGGGGGGGGGGGGGGAGGAAGATGAAAGTCGAGGGGGCATTGCAAAATTTTGCTTTCTGCTCATGCCCGAACGGTTCTTATAAACAGTCTTTTGGCAAATCAATAGGAAGTGTACTGAAATTAAGTCTAGGTGAAGTCCGAGAGTTGAGTTCTGGCAGTAAGAAGTTCCTACAATCAACTGAGTTCACCCCAGAAAAGAGTTGAGAGAGAGAGTAGGACTTGTACTTAGTGTCTGTCTTTGACTTAAGATGCTTTAAGTTTTCAGCAAGTGTATTCCCCTAAAACCCCCAAGTGGGTGGGGCCTTTAGCCCCGGTGTCACTTTTGGACACCCAGTTATAACGCTGACTAAAACATCATTAACAAGGCTGTTCTCTAAATTTATTTTTAAGCATGTGCTCCTCAAGAATAAGAAGAATACCCTTTCAAACAATTTTAGTCCTCCTGAGTGGCTTATTTTGTAAACTTTAAGGTGTTGGTTGGATGGCCAGTGTAAAGCCCATTTCTACATGACGATAAAAAATTGCTTGAATGGGTTCTATGCTTTGTAACGAGAAGTCCCATAGCATGACATACCACCTTTTACTCATTTTGGTTGATGCCTACAAGTACAGCTCATTTTTTGCCCGATGTATACCTGTGTAAAACAGTCTCTCGTTTGCTGCTATAAACGCTCTTTTTTTGCCCATGTTTAATCTTTAATCTGTTCATAGCACAGGCTAATCATGGCAATGGATGGTCTTAATTAGCTAAGCAGTAGGTGATGACAAATAACTTTTAAATGTTAACCCTAAAGATAAAGATATTTCTTTAGTGCTCATCATTCTTTTAAGATTTCAGAAGCTAAATCAGTTCTCTTTTGCAGGCACTTATCAAGACTAATGTAGACGCTTTGAGCACAAGTAGGATTCAAATTTAGACGGGTGGATGTATTTAAAACTGTGTTACAAGTTCACTAGGCTATTAAGGTACATGTAAAGCAATGTTACCCTGACTGAGTGGAGCGCCCTGAGTATCATCTAGTAAGGACCTGACATTTATGTATGGCTTGAGATCAGGATGGACTTCTTCATTTCAAGCTTTGGGCTCCTAGAGTTTATAGTTATCAAGTACTCCGCAACCTTTTCTAATCTCATGCAAATATAGTGGAACCAGGATATAATTAACACCTTTAATTATACAAACAATAGTTTCTGCCCCAATTACTGTAAGATGGACAAGACCCATCATCACATACTACATGATAATTTTTCTTTGTTGCCATTGTATATTATTTTTAAAAATATTTCTTGATTTCCACAAAAGCCTTTAGAACTGAATTGTTTACAAATAGGCTCATGTAGAAACCTAATTGACCATCATATGTCATACTACCATAGCTTTTGAAACCTTTTCTGCGTACCGGTAAACAAAGGCACCAACTCAATGCTTGGGTGACAAAATACAGTGATTTGTATGAAATTGTCGCTTCAAGGCTAGACACCAATTCCTTGTGTTTGCTAACTGGATCGGAATGTGGGTTAGGTCTATTGAATAATAAAAAAATGTTATTTCTGACGAATGAGCCCGCGAAGAAGGCAGAAATAAATATTTTGACGGCACGAGATACAACAGGGCCTGGGTACTAGGCCGGGTGCACCATGGGTAGCCATATCGGGGGTATATAAGGCTGCGTATATCACGTGTTCGTCATCTAGGCTTACGAACCAACCTCTCCTTGGTTTTTCTTAACGTTTTTATCGGCTCTTTCTTGCGTTATATCCGTCAGCAAAGATGAAGTGTCCGATCTCATTGAGGAGAATAACAAACAGTTTATGGACTCGTTTAAAGTTTTGTTAACAGAAACCGTTGGTCAAATCAAGCGCGCTAATGAATATTTGGCCGAGCAGCAGATGAAGGAAATTAAGAAACTAAAGTATAACGAACCACGTAAGTTCAAGAAGAAGGCCAACGAAAACCA